ATGCGCGGGAAAATTCAGATCCAAGTTCTGGGCCTGCTACCCGCAGGGGCGCAGTTCCCCGCGCCGCCACCAGATCGCGCCCGGCACTCTCGGGCGGGGCTTGCACTAAGGCTGTGTGGCCGCCAGATGGTGTCCGAGACCGCGGCTCCGAAGACAGTGCCCCCCAACAAGGCGGAGCCCAGCGGGTCCGCGAGTCCGAGACCTGTCCCAGGAGCTCCAGCACACGTGACCTACCGCCACCTCCTGCTCGCGCCATGACCCAGCCAGTGCCCCGGCTCTCCGTGCCCGCCGCGCTGGCCCTGGGCTCAGCCGCGCTGGGCGCCGCCTTCGCCACCGGCCTCTTCCTAGGTGAGCAGGACCTGGACCCCGCGGGCGAGCGAGTGGGCGGGCTCAGAGGAGGGCGCGGCGCGGCTCACGTTAACTCCTGCAGCTGCGGAGCCCGGGGCCCTGACCCAGCACCCTCTCCCTGCAGGGAGGCGGTGGCCCTCATGGCGAGGCCTGCGAGAGCTGCGCCTGCTTCCCCCCGAGGACAGTCCCCTGTGGCAGTATCTGCTGAGCCGCTCCATGCGGGAGCACCCGGCGCTACGAAGCCTGAGGCTGGTCAGTAGGGCTCAGGGCGGGAACGGGCGTCCACCTCGGGCCCGGCGGGTCCCACGTGGCTGTGTGACCTTGGGCGGGGCTGTGGCCCTCTCTGGGCTTCCGGCTTCCCAGTGCTGGGTGTGGTGGGCGTTCCCGGAGGGCATTTCCCCCAGACCACGCCCAGAACCGCTCCCTTGGGGGCTTGGGACCCCAGGACGGGGGTGGGTGACCGACAGGGCTGGTACCGCCCTCTTCCTTCACGCAGCTGACCCTAGAGCAGCCGCAGGGGGATTCCATGATGACCTGCGAGCAGGCCCAGCTCCTGGCCAACCTGGCGCGGCTCATCCAGGCTAAGAAGGCGCTGGATCTGGGTAGGGGCACGCGGCCGGGATCCCCGAGGGCCTTGGCTGCCGGGCTGACCCCCACTCTGGGCTGAGCCCGTCTGTGTCCCCGTCCCAGGCACCTTCACGGGCTACTCCGCCCTGGCGCTGGCCCTGGCGCTGCCTGCGGATGGGCGCGTGGTGACCTGCGAAGTGGATGCTCAGCCCCCGGAGCTGGGGCGGCCCCTGTGGAGGCAGGTGAGCGCCCGCACCTAGCCCCGCAGCCCCAGATGAGGGCGCAACGGCTGACCCGCTCCCTCCGCAGGCCGAGGCGGAGCACAAGATCGACCTCCGGCTGAAGCCTGCCCTGGAGACCCTGGGTGAGCACCGACGTGGAAAGGGCTTTGCGGCCATTGCAAATGGGGCCAGTGGGCCCAGCTGTGACCGGGCCTACCGGACGGGTTAAGGGCAGGACCGGCGGTCACAGCGCCCAGGCCGTCCTGGGAGGGGGATTAGGGCCGCCAGGGACAAGGACTCAGCCCCACTTGCCCTCCCTCTCCCGCAAGACGAGCTGCTGGCGGCGGGCGAGGCCGGCACCTTCGACGTGGCGGTGGTGGACGCCGACAAGGAGAACTGCGCCGCCTACTACGAGCGCTGCCTGCAGCTGCTGCGGCCGGGAGGCATCCTCGCCGTCCTCAGAGTAAGGGATCCACGGCGGGGGAGGAGAAAGCTCCTTCTCTCGGGCCGGGTCCCCGTCTTTTCCCCTAACTCCTTCTATACCCCAAAGCCCCACCCAGTCCAGTCACGTTGGCTCCACCCACTGCGGGGCTCTGGTCCCCTCCCGCCGGGCACCTACCTCTGAGGCCCCGCCTCCCTCTGCCCGATTGGCCCCGCCCTCTTGAAACCCCGCCCCCCGCAGGTCCTGTGGCGTGGACAGGTGCTGCAACCTCTGCAGGGGGACGTGGCCGCCGAGTGTGTGCGGAACCTAAACGAACGCATCCGGCGGGACGTTAGGGTCTACATCAGTCTCCTGCCCCTGGGCGATGGCCTCACCTTGGCTTTCAAGATCTAGGGCTGGCCCCTAGTGAGTGGGCTCAGGGAAGGGTTGCCTGGGAACCCCAGGAACTGACCCTGAGTTTTAAATTCGACAATAAAATGGGGCTTGGGACCTCCTGAGCCTCCGTGTGTGACGCTGGATGGGGAAAGCAGGGAAGGCCCAGCACAGACAACTCCCTTCAGTGAAAGGGGCCTTGAGATTCTTCCCCTCCCTGGCGCCAGGTCTGGTCTTACTGCAGGAACCTCCAGCTGGCAGGACGCAGGTTACAAAGTTTTAATTGGCCTGGCCATGTGTAATGGCCAGAGACCCCAGCTCCTCGGGCTTGTCTCCCTCCTACATCTCTCCCTCAGGACAGATGAAACTCTCTGGTTCTGTGCAGCTGGGACTGGTGGGGGCCCCGTCTGGGATTTGATAACAGAAAAGAGGATTGAAGGGGACCACGGGTGTCACTTGTGTGCTTTTGTGGGTGATGCCGGTTCTGCTGGCAGCTTGCTCATGTCTTCACAGCACAGTCAGCTCCCTAGCCTCACCTCTCCAGTGAAGGCCCTGGTCAGGGGACATCACCTCTGAGAGCCAGGCCAGTTGGCCTGGACCCGAAGACCTCAGGGTTGACTTATTTATCCTGCCCTCTCCTTGAAATTCTGAAGGAAAGTGAGGGGGATCACTGGCCAGGGAGGTATGAAGTAGATTGGCCCATAGATATGGCAGTTACCACACTCCCTAGAGGATGAAGAGAACTTCAGGCTTTCCTGAACCTCTGACTATGAGGGAAGGTGAAGGAACCAGGCCTTATGGAGCACCTTCAACCCAGGTCCTCTGCTTCTCATTTAAATTTCCCCAACCCCACAGATCTTATCTCCACTGACAGATGAAGGTCAAGTTCTTTCCACTGACACTGCCTCAGGCGGAAATGCCATTAGCCTAGAATTCAAGCAGCCTTTGCCACCACCAGGTAAGCCCCAGTGATGGAAGGTGCCCCTGGAGACTCCTGGAAGCAGGGCTAAAAGAGCCCCACAAGCTCACAGCTCCTGGGACATACTTTGCATTTTGGACAATACTCGGGACACTGGCTGAAACCTACTCTTTTCTAACTCATAAAAGCATATTAGGATGCACATGAGTGGAGGATGAATTTAAGCAGAACCTTGACAAACAGCTAACTCACTTGTGCCACACCTCAGTCCAAATCACTGTAGCCACTGCCCAAAACCACCCGTTAGCTAAGAGGCAGCAGTCTGAATGACTAGGATTTCTTTCTTTGGGGGACCACCAGCAGTGATTAGTTACGTGGGTCTACTTCACACTACAAGAGTTGCTCTCAGGCCTAAGCCTGCATGGACATCTTTTCATCTGTTTCTTCTCTTACCTTGCAATAGGTCCTGACTCAGGCTGGCTCAGATTCTGTCGCTTGAGTCATGTGTGTCTGAAGGCCTTTCAGAGAACCCGAGATTTCAGAGATTCATTCACATGGGCCATTCAAACCAGTCCCCTAGGAAAAACATAGCGGGACCAGAGGGGTCTTCGTGCCCCCAACTCTCTTGTGTGGAGAGCTTGCTCTGATCTGTCACCAGCTTCTTCTCAACCTGCAATTTTGTAGCATGTATCCTTTCTCGGGTGACGAGTCCCATTTTTTTTTTTTTTTAAGTAGAGACAGTTTCTTCATGTTGGTCGGGCTGGTCTAGAACTCCCGACTTGAGGTGATTCACCTACCTCAGCCTCCCAAAGTGCTGGGATTACAGGCGTGAGCCACCGCACCCAGCCAAAAGCAAGTTTATTAAGAAATTAAAGGAATAAAAGAATAACTACTCAATGGGCAGAGCAGCCCCTTATCCATTTCTTATCGCTCAGGCTCCATCATTCTTCAGGTCTATTATTACAGAACAACTCTCCTCTCCAACCTTTAATCATATCCTACAAATTACCTCCTCCTAACAGAAAACTTGCTCTTTCCTACTTTTCCAGCTAGAACCACCTATTAATGTCTAATTATTGCCCAGATGAAGGCCCATGCCACACAGCCTAAAGGGGTTGCCTCTGGTCTCTTACCTACCACCTTTGTCAGTGTCTGCCTGGAAGGAAATGAGTAATGACCTCTCACAGTCCCTCAGGTTACCCTCACTGTCTACACCTTACTCCTCTCCTCTATGCCTAACCCCATCTCAGCAAACAAGGGCCTAGTTTCCTAGAAGTACCCCACAGAGGTACAGTGTGCACGTGTAACTTCAGCACATTCTCTTCATTTTCCTTCCAATGATACAGTGCAATTCTGCACATACTTACAAACTGAAGAGTGTCAAAGCATGTATCCTCTTATTGTAGTCTTGAAAAGCTCATGGAATTATTCTAGGGACACAGAAGATCCTGTGGCACAGATTTTGGTAAAGAGCAAAATGCTTACTGGAAAAATTAAGTACTGGCTAGCTACCAGCGAGATTTGACCGTAGCTGGCAAACGTGGAACTCTGCAAATACTTGGAGCCATTAATTATGAATACTTGTTTTATTCATAATTTGTCATGTTCTGGGATACCAAAAGTAATTCTAATAATGGCTGAACTTAAAAAAATGTTAACCTCATCTTAAAATATCCACTGATGCATCTCATTCAATGGTAATAGTGAATGTTTTCTAAAGGAACATAAAAAACAAACATGCACACAATTGCACAGTTTTCATAAAGGTCTATTTCATTATTGGTGGGTAGCACATTTAACAGTTAAATACATTTAAATAATGTATAGGTGACTGCAGGACTGCAGCATTGGTAACTAGATAACCAATTCAACTAGAAACCAGCTAACAAGGAACTGTCTAAATATTTTAAATACAGCTCTTGTTGAGATCATCCTTTGTTTTGATCATCATCTTGGGGGGAAAAAAAGCCTGCTGCTGGTCACAATGGAAATATATTAAGGCCAAATCTTCTCATATCCATTCCCAAAGGCTTCTTTCAGCTGGATTAAGCCTCCAACTCCAGGGCAAGCCCAAGCTTGTGGCCTCCAGCATTAATGCTCTTCCCATCTACCAAAGCAGACAGTGTAAGCTTCACACCTGTTAAGAAAAAAAACAAAAAATAAAACAAACGTGATGTGCCTGGCACTTCACTCAGTCTGAGCCTCCTTTCAGTCATCCCAGAGCCTGCCTGTCACTTCCTCAGCCTGTCAGCTGGCCTACCAGTGCTGGCCACCAGAGGGCGCTTGGAAATATGAGACACCCGAAGAACTGGGTTACCATTCTAGGTAAGGCACCAAGTCACAGAGAATAGAAATGTTAATAACCAGAAGTTAAAAGTGTTCTAGAAAATACAAGGCTGGGCGCAGTGGCACACGCCTATAATCCCAGTACTTTGGGAGGCAGAGGCAGGTGGATCACGAGGTCAAAAGATTGAGACCATCCTGGCTAATATGGTGAAACCCCATCTCCACTAAAAATACAAAAATAAGCTAGGTGTGGTGGTAAGTGCCTGTAATTCCAGCTACTCAGCAGGCTGAGGTGGGAAAATCACTTGAACCCAGGAGGTGGAGACTGCAGTGAGCCAAGATCACACCACTGCACTCCAGTTTGTCGACAGAGCAAGATTCCGCCTCAAAAAAAAAAAAAATGTTGAATTACTATCCAGATGAAAAGAGACTAGAGACATAATCGTAATTAGATGCTAGAAAAGAAAACCTACATTAAAGACACATTTGGGGACGGGGTAAATCTGAATATATATTTGTATTATTACATTAATGTTAGTGTTCTTAGATGTGACAATGGTATTGTGCTTATAAAGAAAAATGTCTTACTCTTAGGATACACATGCTAGGGCTGCCATGTCTGTATGTTTGCAAAACATACATTTCTTTAAAAACATTTTTTATTTTTGTTTTTTGTTTTTTTTTTTTTAACGTTTCTTTAAAAACGTATTTGAAAAGGAGTTTCAGGCTGGGCACTTTGGGAGGCCCAGGCGGGCAGATCACCTGAGGTCAGGAGTTCGAGACTAACCTGACCAACATGGAGAAACCCCATCGCTACTAAAAATATTAAAAATTAGCCAGGCATGGTGGTGCATGCCTGTAATCTCAGCTGCTCAGGAGGCTGAGGCAGGAGAATCGCTTGAACCTGGGAGGTGGAGGTTGCGGTGAGCTGAGATTGCGCCATTGCACTCCAGCATGGGCAACAAGAGCAAAACTGTCTCAAAAAAAAAAAAAAAGTTTCAGAGACATAAATGTAGTACATGTTAGTAACTGGTCAACGTGGAGGAAATGCGTATGATGTTCATTGTACCATTCTTCCAAATTTTCTTTAGGTTTCAAAATTGCCAAAATAAACTTTGGGGAGGAAAATCCCTATTTGGAAGGGAAAAAAGTCCCCAGTACTTTAACAAGACTCCAAGATGAGTCGTGTGCAGCACATTGAAGTTGGAGAAGTGCTGCAAAGCAATGATTGAACTTTGATCAACAGAAAAATTACTACAAACATTTCAGGTACAAGTGAGGAAATGGAATAGGAAGTGGATATTAAATAATAAGGAATCACTGCTTTCTTAGGTGTTAGTATTACGGTTATGTAGAAAAGGAGAGAAAGTCCTTATTCTGAAGAGAAGTGTCATGACCAAATGGCCTAGCAAAAAAAGGGAAGGAAAAAGAAATTAAAAATTGTGGCAAAAGGTAAACATGTATTTATTGTACTTTTCTTTCAACTATTCTGTATGCTTGCTTGAACGGTATAAAAAATAAGCTGAGGAATGAAAACTAAATGTTTAAATACTATCAAAACAATCCTACTTTATCAAGAATACTTACCAGGCCTCAGAGTCTGAGTATAGCCTACTCCAATTAAGCTAGAGTTGTTGACTTTTGCCTAAAATAAAATTCAAAAACAACTATAAGAAAAATATTTCAATAGAGACAAAGCCCCTACATGTTTCCCCATCATGTAGTCATGAAGTATTCAGTTTTATTCATGTGAGACAATAAAATGCAACATTATGTATCAAGTCAAACAGAAACCAGGAACCACTACTTATCCATTCAGCTCAAAAATCAAATTGTCAGGACACAACAGTACTCTTCATAGACCTTGGAATGTATCCAAAGACCCCAAACTGTCTGTATAGCACAAGACCCTAAGCAGTCTCATAAAAATCCTTGTTGATTCTAGTCTAGCATAACAAAACCAGACCAAAATGTGGTACCAATCAGGCTCACTAGAGGTGACATACAGCAGCCCTAAAGTGCAGGCTGTACAGTTTAAATTCATGACTTAGTTACAAACATTACTACTTTCAGGGCTCTTCCTAAAGAATCAAAACCATCAATGTTTTTTTAAAAATTCCCAAACAGGCCAGGCGTAGTGGCTCACACCTGTAATCCAAGCACTTTGGAGGCCAAGGCGGGTGGATCACCTGAGATCTGGAGTTCAAGACCAGCCTGACCAACATGGTGAAACCCCCTTCAAAAAAAAAAAAAAAATCCCCAAACAACAAGTAATTTCTCTGTAGAATCAAACAATCCTTTATCCTCACATTCTCATACCTCTCATTAATGCTGGTGCCACTGAGTTCTGGCTGTATGTAACCAATGGGCTTGGGAGGAGGTCCCAGTGAGGCATCATGTACCAATCCAGGCCCCTGCCTTCCCTGCACAATCCTAACATTTTAGGACTTACAAACTTCAAGGCCTGGAAGGAACCCTGAAGAATAAGACATAATAAGGAGTAGCTTCCTTCTAGCTCCATTCTCTACTACCACTAACATTATTAAGCCACATCAGAGGCCTATCGATATAAATGTGGATAACTGCCCTCATTTCCAGGGCCTAGGTTGCCTAGACATGCAACTTTGCTTAGTTTTCAGCACTCTGAGGGCTATAGTTTAAAGGTAACAGCCTATGTAAGCAAAACAGATCTGCAAATGATTTGATGTCTATACTCTTACAATGTGCAACATGCAAAAAGCCCAATCCAGAGAAAGAAATGATGTAACTATACAGACACAAGCCACATCCACAACACTTGTATTTGCTTGGCACTACAGCCAAATATTCATGAGCTAGCAATGACCAGCTAAAGAAAAAAACAGGCCCGGAGCAGTGGCTGACACCAGCAATCCCAGCACTTTGGGAGGCCAAGGTCAAGAGGATCGCTTGAGCCCAGGAGTCCAACAGCCTGGGCAACATCGTAAGACCCCTGTCTGTCTGTACAAAATTTTTCTAGTCTGGCATGTTGGTGCACACCTACCCAACTATCAGGCAGTGGGGGTGAGATGGAAGCATCTCTTGAGCCCAGGTGGTTGAGAGTGCAGTGAGCTATGATTGCACCAGCGTAACTACAGCATAGGCAA